CCTTATAATAGGGTTATAATATTGGGTTATGGGTTTAGTGATTTTGATAACGGTTTTGATTTATTTTTTATCAAGTTATCGATTTTTAACGGTTTGAAGTTTTTTCTTAACGAGTTAACCGATAGTAAATTAAAATATATTTATACCATTTTGTATATAAAGTCCTCGACTTAGACCTTAATTTCTTACTTTTATTTTGTTGTCTCAAACATTTGGTTATTCTACAATGTAAAAGTGTTTGCTTTTGAAAAAGAAGTAACTTGTGAACTCAAGTGCATGGGTTATTTAGTTTATCATCTTGTTTCTAAGTGATTTTTAATATTTTTTCTTTTGTTTTAAATCTTAACGGTTAAACCGATAACCGATCCGATAACAATCAAAAATCGATAAACCAATAACCAATAAACCAATATCTTAATGGTTTTATAACGATTTAACATCTCTAAAAAATGACAACCTATAAATTAACAAAATAAACTTTAAAATCGAACCAAATCGACCCATACATCACCTTACTATCAAGACAAGAAAAAAGACAATGAAAAAGAAAACAAAGGGGGTTAGGTGGAAAAATATCGTGCAAAAGGTGATAGGGGGGTTGTGTTATTTTAAAATCTGCAACTTTCAGATACAAATTTTATGTTTAAAGTTTTATTTTTCGCAAAAATATAGCTTTGAAACTATTTTCACTTAGTTTATTAGGTTAAATTATTCATAAATTTTATTTGATTGAAATATCTTATATTATTCATAAATTATGTTGAACGAGACGTAATTCTATCAATATATCTCGTTAAAATATTCATAAATTTCATCAATGAATTAATAATGCCTTGGTAAGAGCATGTTTTGAGATTACTTCCATTTCACATATTGTTAAATTTTCCCCAAATATTACTAAATTAACAAATTCTATAATTTTTTGTTCAATTATTTGCAAATTTTATTAAACTTTTTAATAAATTTTCATTCAAGGTTTGTATTTTTTTTCAAAAATATTAATTAAACTTGACAGATGCCTTCAATTTGAAGAACATTCATCGTTAAAATCCTCAATTTAGAATTTTTCACCGATCAACTTTTTCAAATTTCCCATAATACACGTTAGAGGGATTATCATTACACTATTTTTTAACGTTGAGCGATAGTTTATTTTTTAATGTAAAATTTGATGATGTAAATAGTTTTCACCTTCTTAGAAATTGCAAGTAAAATTGTGTTTTTTCTTTTCCTATTTTTGAATTTTATTCTATGAATTATGTAATTCTTAATTTTCATTTACATTTTACAATATCAGCTTAAATTAATTGTTTGATTGAATCTTTTATTCTCTCTCTCTCACACACACACAATATTTAACTCTGCGATTAGTTGATTAATTGTATAACTTGACTTAGACTATTAAACCAGTTGATATATAGGATTTACAAAAAAATCATACAAAACTATTTTTAAATTGTGAAGATTTATATATCTTTCTTTGTCAAAGTAGTTTAAAGTCAACATGTATTTATAAGTTAAAATTAAGACTAATCATCTAAAGTCTTAATAGTCTAATTTAGGAGGAGACACGAAATATAAAATTTGTCCAAAAAAGGTAAAAAAATAAATAAAACGGATACATGAATTAGCATACAAAGAATTAATCCTAATTTATAGATAAAGATCCGTTCAAGTATAATTGGGTCAAGTAATGTCTAATGACCTTATATATTTACGTTATGTATACTGTAAAATAATTTATGGTTAAAATTCATTTAAATTATATACCTATTATAATAATAGCTAATAAAAATAACAAAGTTATCAACTTTTTTTTTATATATAAAAACTATCAAATAAAGCAATTAAGTATAACAAGCTAATATTTTCGAGAAAAAAATTAAGATTATGAGAAATAAGCGAATTTTCTGACTTTTTACCCGCCAACTTCTTCGAGAGTAATTTCACACATGCTTTCTCCAAATTCTAAAGTAATCTCCATAAATAGATCAAACTTAAAAACGTAATTCGATTCTAAATAATAATTCAATTAAAGAACATGATAATATATTTTTTAAAAAAAACTTATTTGAAGGTTTTCAAATAATTATAAAAATATATTTATTCAGATTCTTCAAAAGTGTCAAATTCTTTAAAATTAGTATAATTTAGAAAATTCAATACAAGTATGAGGTTCGGCAGGTAAAAAAGTCAAGAAGTCCGCATATTCTCGTCAGTCTTATTTTTCTTGAAAATATTAGATAGGGTACACTTAATTATTTTATTTGATAGTTTTAAAGAATAAAAATAATTGACGGATTTGTTATTTTTACTATCAAAATAAATATAATTTAAATGAATCTCAACTATAAATTATTATATAATACAAATTACATAAATCTATAAGGTTATTAAAAATTAGTTGACCTAATTATACTTGATCGTATCTTTATTCTTTATTTAGATAGTTTGCATTTTAATAAATCAAATGTTGAATGAATAAATGTAATTCTTAAAATATATAAGAATCCATCAACATGAAGTAGTATAAAGTTACTATTAGACCCCCATTTTATTTGTATTTTCTTTATTATGTTTGACTTATACTTTGTAATAGGAAATAAATAATTAGATTGATATATTTATTTTATTTCCTGATTATCATAAATTATTTCGATATTTAAATATCAATACTTAAATACTCAATTATAAAGATGAAACAAAAATTAAAAAAATGTTTTAAATTTTGAAGTTGAACATGTCAAAAAAATTCGAACTATAGTTTTTTTTTTTGGTAACTACATTTTATTAATTACCAAGAATTATAGTTTATTATAGAATTTTTTACCAAACTAAGTCATTATATAAAGTAATTTACCAAAAAAAATGTTTTTTAAAATTTTTACAAAACTAGTATAAACGTATTTCACAATAACGTTTTATGGTATATTTCATTTTTAAAAAACTGATGGCGTTAGATTTATATATGTTACTGTAAGTAACGTTCTACTCCTAAAACGTTATTCTGAATAATGTTTTAGGAGTAAAACATCACTCACAGTAACGTTTTAGTAATAAAACGTTACTACAAATAACGTATATCAACTAACGCTATCAGCTTTTTAAAAAATGAAATATACCCTAAAACGTTACTGTAACATACGTTAATACTAGTTTTGTAAAAAAATTTAAAAAATATTATTTTAATAAATTATTTTATATAATAACTTAGTTTGGTCAAAACGTACTTATTATATAAAAGTTCGCCAACGGTATAACTGATGTGAATTGCACTATACAAATTCCATGCTTCATGTTCATAATAAAATAGACAAAAGACGTAAAGCCGCCATTAATGTTGTCTCGGATTTGCAAAAAGACACCTTAACTTTGTAA